TAAAGTAACTTCTTTAATGTCGAGTAAAAACAGTTGCATAATCTGCAAGGAAGATAATTTTCTTCACAAATGTGGTAGGTTTTCAAACTTAACTGTCCAAAAAAGAATTGAATTTGTTAAGAAAAACAAACTTTGTTTTAATTGTTTATCTTCTCAGCCTCATTTAGTGAAAAATTATCGTAGTTTACATAAATGTATGACGTGTAAGTCATACTGTTCATCATACTGTTCTTCATTTTGATCGAAATCCCAAAACTAGTGAAAATGAGAAACCAAAACAAACGTCCTTACTCTCCCCCAGTGCTGAAGTGTGTTCTTACCAAAGAATGAAGTTGTTCAAATGCCACAACACGCACAGGACAATTTAGTTCTAAAGGTAAAGCAAAACATATTTTACTGTGTACTGCTGTCATTAAAGTTGGTGATTCCAATGGTAAAGCCATCCCTAGCAGGGTTCTACTAGACTGTGGCAGTGAAGCCAGCTTCATAAGTGAAGAGTATTCAAGTTAGGTAGACTAACAAAAAAAATCAAATTAGTTCGTACAACACTGTAACAAGTGAAGAAGTGGAATTGATCTTTACCCCGCACTTTGAGTCAAACTCCAAATTTTGAACATATGCATTCGTGATTCCAAAGATAACTCCAGATGATTTAGTCTTGGCTGATCGTATGTTCTATGAAAGATTAAACCTATTGATATTTTGTTAGGTGTAAATGTATTTTTTACTATTCTTTAAGGGAGACATCATAAAGAGAGGACAATCATTACCCTTTGCAATTTGTTCTCAGTTGGTTTGGATCATATCTAAGAACACTATTACTGATGGTTCAAATCTAACTACCACTTATATAGTGAATAATCTTCAGTTGAATACAAACGAATTAATTGAAAGATTTTGGTCTTTAGACTCCATTTCTGAAAATAAAAATAGTGAAGATCAAGAATGTGAAGAATTCTTTAAAACAACACACTTCCAAGATCAAAATGGTCATTATGTAGTGAAACTTCCATTCAAAGATTACCCTTCAAAGTTGAGTAATTCTAAAGATCTTGCTTTACAAAGATTTAAATCTTTAGAGAGAAGATCCCCTGATACATAGGAGATGTATAAACAATTCATGAAGGACTACTTGAATCTCAGGCACATGAAACCAGTTCGTAGTACAGAGTCCCCAAGTCAGGCATACCACATGCCACATCATGCAGTAATTAAGGAATTTAGCTCTACAAGCAAAATACATGTGGTTTTTAATGCTACTTGTAAGTCTTCATCAGGACTATCTCTTAAGGACATATTGATGACAGGTCCTAGAAAACAAGAAAAGCTGTTTCCAGTTTTGATCAAATTCAGATGTTACCCAGTAGTTGTCACAGCTGATATCATGAAAATGTATAGATAAATTCTAGTTAATGAAGAGGATAGAGACTTTCAAAGGAATTTCGACTTAAAACTGTCACATATGGCACTGCCTCCGCTCTGTATTTGGTTACTCGCTGTTTGTACCAACTTGCATACGATGAGCAGAATAACTATCTTTTAGATTTGAAGGCTGTACTTCAAAACTTTCTTGTAGATGATTGTTTGGAAGGTGCGCAACACTGAAGAGTGCAAAACTGTAGTAAATCAACATGGAGGATTTCATCTGCATAAATGGTCATCCAATGACTTGCCAGTGTTAGAGAATATACCCAAGAAGTCGAGAAATGATCCTGAGGCAATGACAATTCAAGACGATAGCTCAATCAAAGTTTTAGGAATTAATTGGAATCCCCGAGAAGACTACTTTAACTTTTCCGTGTTTATTTTTGGAGAAAAGTTTAAATACACTAAAAGAGATATCCTTTCTGATTTAGCGAAAATATTTGACCAATTGGGTTGGCTAGCTCCTTGTATTATTTATGTCAAGGTCTTGACACGAGACATGTGGAAACTCTGTTTATCATGGGATGAGCCTGTTAGTGATGAGATTGCTAACAAATGGAAGAGTTTTTGAAGGTATTTACATCTTATTCAACTTTAAAATTACCAAGATTTGTTTTGATTCCTGACGTAAACTAAATTGATATTTGTGCTTTTTGTGATGCCTCCGAGAAAGGCTAATGTGCAGCAATTTATTTGCATTCAGTGTCACGTAATTTGGAAATTAAAGTCTCACACTTAACATAAAACGAGAGTTGCTCCTCTGAAGGTGCAATCACTACCACAATTAGAGTTATGCACCGCAGTTTTGTTAGTGAATTTACTTAAAGCAGTGTTAGAACATTTAGAATTTCTTATAAGTAATGTTTTGGCCTGGACAGATTCAACTATTGTACTGTCCTGGATGTCTACAGAACCATACCATTGGGTTCCCTTTGTTGCAAACTGTGTTGCCAAAATACAGAACACAATTCATAATCTAAGGTGAAACTATATCAATGGAAAGCTGAACCCAGCTGATTCAGGTACAAGAGGAATGTTTCCAGCCAAATTTCTGAATTGTGAGCGAGGGACCTATTTGATTATATTCACAAGATTTCAAAAAATGTCCCAACAGCGAACATCTTTGTGCTGATGTAGATTATGAAGGACTTCGTAGAGAAGAGAGAAAAAAATGCCATTTCAGTATCTTGTACAGTAAAGGAAAATGACATTTATAAATGGTATTCATCTTTGACAAAATTACGTCGTATAGTTGCTTTATGCCCAAGATTCATTTACAACTGTCGAAACTCCTCTGAAAATCGTTTGAGAGGTTTTTATGACAACCGATGAGCTTCGATTGGCTACAAAAACAGTGATAAAAAATTTCCAAGAATTTTATTTTCCTCAAGAGCTCTCTTGTTTAAAAATATCGAGAGAATTAAAAAGTGTGAGCTATCGAGTAATACAATTAACTTCCTTCCTTGATGAAGAAGGCGTCATTCAAGTAGGCGACTGCTTAAAACATGCAAACGTTCTTGAAAATCGCAAACATCCTATTTTGCTTCCAAAGGAAGGCCATGTCACTAATTTCATCGTAACTCTTTACCATGTCAATTATTTACATGCTAGTCAAGAGTTATTGATAAGCACTTTATGAATGCAGTTTCGGATTCTTTCGGTGAGAAGCGTAGTGAAAAAGATAATTCACAGATGTATTCTTTGTATTAGAAATCGAGGCAAGACTCTGACCCCGATAATGGGCGATTCACCCTCACAAAGAGTTCAACCATATAGACATTTTGCTGTCACTGGTGTTAGTTATGATGGTCCATATTCAATTAAGTTCCAAGTTGGAAGAAGAGCTAAAACTTTCAAGTGTTATGTATCCGTTTTTGTGTCTCAACAAAAGCTGTACATTTGAAGTTAGTCAGTGATCTATCAACTTCAACATTTTTAGCAGCTCTAAAAAGACGATGCAAACCATCTGAAATTTTGAGTGACTGTGCGACTAACTTCAAAGGTGCTAGTAAGGAACTGAAGGAGATTTATAAAAATGCAGCTTGCATTGAGAAAAGCAAGGAAGTATGTAACTACATTACCTCAGAAGATATAACTTGGTTATTTAATCCTCTGAAATCTCCTCACTTCGGTGGCTTGTGGGAATCTAATGTGAAGTTCATGAAATTTCATCTTAAACAAGTAGAAAAGATTCACACTTTTAACTTACAAGGAATTTTTAACAGTGCTTACACAAGTGGAAGCGTGTATGAATTCCCATCTCCTATGTATGATGTCTAGTGATCCAAACGACTTTAGTGCATTGACTCCAGGTCATTTTCTGATTGGAGCCCCTTTGCTTGCCATTTCTGAATCTGACTCGAGTGATGCAAAATCTTCAAGACTTATACGCTGGTCTCTAGTTCAACAGACTGTGCAACATTTTTAAAAACGATGTTGTGCAGAATATTTAACAACCCTTCAATAATGTGCTAAGTGGTTTTGTGCATCTTCAAATCTAAAATGTGGTAATTTAGTTCTGATCAAAAACGAACAACTGCCTCCAAACCAATGGAAAATTGGAAGAATTGCCTTAATTCATCTAGGCAATGATAAAAAAGTTTGAGTGGCTACAGTCCATACAGCCACAGGTGATTTCAAACGAGCTGTTACTAAATTGTGTCTTATCCCCCAATCATGACTAATTTGAACTATCAACACTGACTTTTCTCATATCATTGAACTTTAATTTTAGTTTAATTTTCAGTTAATTTTTTTGTTAATGTTATTATGTGTGCTTTAACTATTTCTCTTAAGTATTAACCCTCAGAAGGCTTAAAGGCCGGGGGGCTATGTTTAGTATTTTTTGTTACCCAAAAAATTTCTATTGTGCGGTTGCTATGGTAACGAACCTTGCAAATATGTGATTTATGTGCTCTATTCTTCTTCTTCTTTTTTTCATTGCTACAGGGCCTTGAGTGATATGTGCATATAATGCTGGGTAGTCACATGGACGGCATTTCTTCCATTTCAAAGTGTTATATAAAATACATAAGTATTATAGTCTGCTTTCTTTTTGTAAACTTATTCTTAATCACACAGTGTACATGAGGGGATCTGCCTAGAGGAGGAATTTTTGGAGGACAAAGTGAAACTGTTCATATTCATGTTACAAGAGGTGAAAATCAGGATAATTCCCATGCAGTCACACAGCCTATGAGCTGCTCTTTGGTCCCTTATTTGTGTCTTCGAGAGGTATGTTATTATTTGAATCCTTAAATCCAATTCTCTTGTAACAAACAGTTTTGTTTTTAAAATAATATAAAAGACATTTTTTTCAGCACTAAAATGGCTAAATTATGATAAAAAAATTCACTCAGGTGCTATTTAGTTTTTTGGAAACAGAAATAAATGCACTCAAGGATAAAAATGAAGTAATTTTAAAGGGACAGAAAAATCATTCCAAATTCCCAGTTCTGGAGTAGAAATGCATTGCTAAATATCTAGAAAAGCAAGTAAAAAAAAAAAAAAAAAAACTTTTTAAGTTTATGCTGTACTTTAAATAAAACTATGAATGTCAAAAATTTTTAACTTACCATTTCCATTAACAAATCCTGGGTAAGAAATGAATCATGAGCTATGCTGTAAATCATCTGCATTGGTCTGCCATATTCATGAGGCCTGTGCTAAAATATTATTCAAGCATAAGAATAAGGACAAGATTATATACTCTGCAATATTTCAGGTAATTTTTTTGAACATATAATTAATAAAAAACGTTTAAGGTATTTAAAAGACATTGAAAATATGTTACTTTAAGTAATCTATATTAACTTTTATCATTTTTTACGGTAGAATTTCTGATCTCCTCATATATTTCTAATAAGTTATTTAATCTGATTACTTTTTTAAAACTCTCCTTTAAATTATAACAATTTAAGTGGTTTAATAAGATTGATTTAAAGTTTTATTTAAGTTCTTTACTATTATACTGGATTTACAGAGCTTTTTAAAGATTTAAATAATTTTCTTAATTTTCTAAAAAACCTCTGCACTGAAATAGTGTACACTACATAATGATATTAAATTTCAGTATTTTAAAATCTGAAACCTAAATTATAATGGTAGATGACTCATATACAGGGTGAACAGGAAATGCCATTCGTCTTTAAATAACTAGTGAACACAGCCAGATACAGTGTTTCAAATACAATGATATAATGAAGTTACAATGCTGAAGCCCGTAGTAAAAAAGGAACCATTCTCTCCAAAGTAACCCCAGCTGCAGTGTTCCCTATTGTAAGATTTAAAAATGTAGCAATCCTATCTCAAAAACTTTGAAAGATATGGGAAAACATTAATCTCAGACTTATAGAAGATTCAATATAAAGTATTACACATATCCATGTTGCATATCAGAGGTCAGTTTCACTTACATTATTCTAGAATGCATTTAAGGAAGGACTAATTAGAAAAAGAGGCATCTAATATAAATATCATACTTATTTATTAAACAATAAAGAATTTTGCTGTTTGTACATAATGTACGTAATTTTTCCTATATTTCCATTTTTTGCCTCTTATGCAGTTTTATGATTGACGTTTATCATTCAGTATGAGCCTGTTTGATGTTGGAACAGCAGAGTTCCAGATTCGAAAGTACTGCCGCAAATTTTCCACTCTACTTTGATAAATGTGCTTCACATAATATATAAGAAGTCTTACTTTAATTTCTAGCAACTTTAATGGCAGGACAAGTTGCATACATTTATATTATTTGCAAATGATGGTTAGAAACAAAAGCAAATGCCCATTTGAGTGACAGGTGTTTGAAATAGAGTCTGCAAGTGTCTGGGGTGCTGTGACTGCAGAAAACCAAAGATCCCATTTCAAAATTGAAAGTTTTAAGACGACTAAACTGAAATGAAGATTTGATGATAAAAGTAAAAGATTTCTGTCTTGAATAATTTGATGAAATACTGGCTAGAGACTTTGAACCAGTCTTTTTGAACCTGTCCAATGAAGAAGTTCCCATGATCCCCAAAATTTCAACATGAAAGGTGAATCAAATGATGACCTCTGCTTAGAATTACTAAGGTATCATTTCAGAAAATAAACTGAGCTGGAAAAAGAGTAAAAGCAGTATCTTATTGTGAATGGCTCTGAAAATTACGAAGAATGCCCCAAAACTATCTGTCCTGCTTAGTGATGAACATTTTGAATGTTAATGCACATCCGTATATGAGAAGGTAGGGAGAGATTTGCTTATTAAGTGAAATACTTTATTTACCTTATCAACCATACAGTCTGTACATTATATCCATCAGACCTTATATACTTTTCCTGTTTCTAAAGAACCCAAGTGTAGATTGTGTCTTTTCTCCCAGAAAGAGGTTTTTAAAATGAATTACTCAAGGCATCACCAACTAATGAAAAGTAATACCCTGTAAGAAACAGCAAGTCTTCCAAGACAAGACATAACAAAAGGCTGTAAGGAGAAACTGCCTGAAATATAATAAAATGTAAGAGCAAAATAACGATTAGAATGCATTATTTTTTAAACGATCTTTCATATACCTTTTGCATTGTCCTACCGTCTGTTACCTACTTTAAAAGAACACAACCATTATAATTCACAGAAATGGAATTACTTATCATTGTGTTTGTTACTCTGATGATTAATAGAACAGTTTGAAACCAGAAATTAAATTATTAATTAGCAAAAGGAACATGTTGTTGCATGATTTCTACTTGGAAATGCAATTGCATTTCAAAGGTAAATTACTCCTTATTGCAGGCAAATTGCATCTAAGGCACAAAAGAGATTTGAGAGGTGCAATTTGGACACGCAATGCTGTATAACTTTTTAATTAATTCCCCTCCCACATCTGTCTTAGTTCTCCAGATAGGACCCCTAAATTTTGATTTTTTCTGGCAGAGGCTGCAGAAACTGGTATTATTTTGCATAGCATGGTTCTTTTACTGCTGCTGGTTATTACATTCATAGTGCCAGCTGACTGTTCACCAATTCATTAGAGAAAAAATGAATTTCTTTTTCATTCTGTATATTTTTGAGAATTTATTAAACAATAAAGAATTATTTATTAAACAATAAACAACTTATTTATTAAACAATAAAGAATTATTTATTAAACAATAAACAAATTTATTAAACAATAAAGAATTTTGCTGTTTGTACATAATGCACATAATTTTTCCTATATTTCCATTTTTTTGCCTCTTATGCAGTTTTATGATTGACGTTTATCATTCAGTATGAGACTGTTTGATGTTGGAACAGCAGAGTTCCAGATTCGAAAGTACTGCCACAAATTTTCCAGTCTACTTTGATAAATGTGCTTCACATAATATATAAGAAGTCTTACTTTAATTTCTAGCAACTTTAATGGCAGGACAAGTTGCATACATTTATATTATTTGCAAATGAAGGTTGGAGACAAAAGCAAATGCCCATTTGAGTGACAGGTGTTTGAAATAGCATCTGCAAGTGTCTGGGGTGCTGTGACTGCAGAAAACCAAAGATCGCATTTCAAAATTGAAAGTTTTAAGACGACTAATCAGTAATTAGAGTCAACTAATCAGTAATTAGACATTTTGTTAGAAATTCCTTTTTTATATTGGTTTTCTTATTAAAATTCATTTAGCTATATCTTGCAGTTTATGAGAAAATGAACTTACTTCTGGTGGTGGCATAACCCAGTATGCAAGATAATCAGCTTCCATAGAAGGTCTCTGCGTATCATATGGAGCTGAAAGTACACATTCTTTTATTCAAAATCTCTCAGTCCAAAATTACTTGTACAAAACATTATTTGAATTTAATATAACGCATTAATATCATGTTTAACATAAATTGTAATTTTTATAATCTGTATAATAAAATCAAGAAAAGTAATATTGATAACTAAAATAGAAGGTATAATATAACTAAAATAGAAGGTACCATATTCATAGTAATAAAAAATATCTAAGAAACAAATATATTAGTTTTATATACTAATAAATAAAGGTAATTTAATTCTCTATAAGATATAGAATATACATATTACTTAAAAAGGGGGGCAAGCAGGAGGAAGTTGAATTTTTTGACTAATATTAAACTAGAGTCTTATGTAGAAGATGACCCATATTCATAGTAATAAAAAATATCTAAGAAACAAATATATTAGTTTTATATAACTAATAAATAAAGGTAATTTAATTCTCTATAAGATAATAGAATATACATATTACTTAAAAAAGGGGGGCAAGCAGGAGGAAGTTGAATTTTTTGACTAATATTAAACTAGAGTTAAAATAATTATTTACCTATATACCAGGGGTGGCCAACAAGTTGATCGCCTATATATCGACGATGCAATAATCGCAAGGCTAATTTTGGTCAATCATCGATGGCTCGCAATGACTGGAATGGAATTCCGTGTATAATAGACTTTGAAGTAATTGTAGAAGACAAAACCTTTTAGCAATAGTATAATGCATTCTGGGAATTTGCCAAGGTCATAAATTCCTAAAATTCTGACAGCCTGACACTACGATCTCCGCCCATCGAGTACAATGCATTTTGACTTATATTTTACAATTGTCACTGGACGCAACCGTTAGGGCTCGACTCGTCGAAGAACACAGTCCATTAGCTTGAATATTTGGTAGTGTCATACGGTAGCTTCTTTTCTTTTGCATTAACAGTATTATTAATAATAATTATTATTTACCCTCAGTGACCACTTTGGGTTTTAATTTTTCTTCTGTTTAAAATGTAAGTACCGTAATTTCCGGAAGAAAGGCCGCATCAGCGTAAACGCTGCACTCGAGAAAAATGGCGGGAAAAGAATTAAAATTACACAGAAACGCCGCAATAGATTAAATTGCGCGTGACATCGGGCGCCGTATAGATGCAAAATCTCAACCTATGTCCTGATATATGACATATATTAGAAAATGCATGAAATGAAATCATAACTCAAAAATAAATTAAAGTAAGAAATGTTGAAAATATATTTACGTTCACGAATATACTTATATTTACCCACTAAAGAAGTCCGTATTTGTAATACTCAGACTATATTATAAAAATGTTGCAACAACGAACTATTAATTTGGATTACAAAAGCAAATTTTAAATTTTACTTACAAAAGGAATTAAAGCAAACTATACATCATATGAAGCCATCAAAATCTGATTCTTCACTTTCTGAATTAAAAAGATTTAGTAAATCCTGATCTAAGTCCAAGTCTTCCAGATCGTCACATTCATCCTGTTGGTTCACAGTCTCTTTATCTAAAGATATAATTTCAGCTTCTTTGAATCCTGCTATTATTGACGATGTTTTTACCGATTTCCGCGCACTTCCTACCTACTTTGCAACTTCTTGATAAGATGCTCTGCAAATTTTACCGCTTTTGGTATATGTATGCAATCCTTCACTCATCCAACACTCCCACCGCTTTCGGACTTCAGCTTTGAAAGATTTATTACCTGACAAATCTAATGGTTGTAAGACTTTTGTAAATCCACCAGGAATTATTGCTACGGTCGTAGACAATTTTTGACATCTGGCTTTCACTGACTCAAGTAAATGGGCACGCATGGAATCCATTATCAATAACCCTTTTGGTTGGAAAAAAGATCCCTTACGACACTGTCAAACTTTTTGTAGCCACTCATGCATGATTGTTTTGCACATCTAGCCGTTCTCGTTTGCACAAATAATTACGTAATTAGGAAAATCTCCCTAGTTTTCCGTTAAAAAATTATCATCGGCTTTAGCTTGTCACCGTTTGCGCCACAAGCTAACACACATGTAAATGACGTTCTTTCATGTCCTGTCATAAGCAAAGATACAGTTTTTTGCACCAGTTTCATCAACAGTTCTGTTTGCAGGAGAGTCGAAAGCTAACGGCGTTTCATCCATATTTATTATCTGTGACCGAAGAAGTTTTCTTTTGTCAATAATATCTGTCACATATTTTAGAAAAGATGCCTTTTTTATCCTGCCAGTCCATTGGGAATGTTGCCGACTATTCTAGTACGCACAGAAATATTTTTTCTTTTCATAAATCTGCTACACCATCAAGGCCCTCCTTTGAAATCATGTTCATTTGCTTTGCTATAAATTTTGCTTGTAAGCAAATTTTTACAGTCAAAATTGCCATTCCTTTTTTTCGTTGCTCCTTTATCCAGTTTGCAAGGTCGTCCTCTAGATTCAGCCACCTTACAGTACCACTTCTTTTTTGGCTCATTGCTGTTGTGGCAGTTTTTCTTTTTCAGTTCTCCAACGTCGAATACATCTCTCGTCCACTGCAAACTCTCGAGCTGCTGCTCTTTTTCCAATTTGTTCAGCACGTGAAATTACATTAAGCTTAAAACCAGCAGTATAGCTTCTGTGCCGTTTAGGTGCCATTTTCAAAAATTTTCCACTCCCTTCTTACTTAAAAACTATCCAACAAGTACTTGTACCCAAACTGATGAAATCTGTATCTGGCAGAATGCCAAGAAAAATCAATTCATGCTGAAGGGGAAATACCTCAGAGTTCGTTATTGCGAGGCAGGTGGAGTCGTGTCCCTCCGCCTTTGAAAAAAATTGCAGAAAAGGCAGGGGTGGGGAGAGGATGGTCATTGAATGGCAGAGGAGAGAGACTACTCAAAATGATGAGAATGCTGATTTCAAAGGGGAAAGAATGTTATTGTTCTGAGATCCCGTTTAGGGTGAATAAGGCATGTAAGTCCGTTCAAGGGAAAGAATGTAAACAAAATAACGTTCGCAAAAAGCAACTGAATGGTCTTTTTGTTGGAACAACTGAGTGGTCTATGTACAATGACAATGCCATCCAAACTATGTACAATGACAAAGTTATTCAAACTATGCACAATGACCATCGAAGGAAATATTTTATTTTTAGTGCACCTAAACACCACATGGGTAGAAACGCCGCACCCGCTGAAAATTTAAGTTTTAAACACGTAAACGGCGTAGCGTTTCTTCCGGAAATTACGGTATCTTTTCTTTGTTTTAAATCAAATTGCTTTCTTACATATCTATTTACTTGATAAGTGAGCATTCTTGGTAACAGATCTCTGAACTGCGGTTATTACACTGAGAGAAAAATAAGGGATAGTATTACAGATATATTAGGAATAATAATAATTCTATTTAAATTAAGATTTTGTTATTTAAACTTATTATACCTGTAATGATACAGTTATTACACTGGGAGAAAAATAAGGGACAGTATTACAGATATATTAGGAATAACAATAATTCTATTTAAATTAAGATTTCGGTATTTAAACTGCAATAAATATATTGTAACTTTAACATACTTATTATAAATTTGAATATATCTTTATTAGATTTTAATACACTTGTATTACTGTGCCCGATCGTAGTATGCAGTATTATTATCATTTATCTCAATATAACGAGATAATAGCCGCATTTCACGAGTTTTTAATTTTCTAGAAAAAATATTTAATTCAATATTTATTCTTTAAATTGTCGTATTTCTTTGCATTCTAGTATACCCATGCTAAACATGAGTAATAAAATAGAAAACTTATCAGTTCAATGAAGAATGAGAAATTGATTACTTTTTTACACTGTCGTATGATAAATGCTGTTGTTTTAATACGGCTTGTCCGCGTAGCCATTGATAAAAAGGGTAATCTGAAGAGACATTGTTTAGCTTTACATGACAAATAGCAAACAGATTATCTGCCAAATTCTGAATTGAGAAAATATAAAGTTCCGAATCTTAAAACTAAATTAACAAATCAACAAAGCATTTTTAAAAAGCCAAGTTTGAAGTCACATGCAGTAACTACTGTATCATTCAAAGTAAGCTGTCTCTTAGCAAAAAAATGTAAGCCGTTTTCCGACTTTGAATTTGTAGAGGAAATTTTTCTAGAAAAGTCAGATTCACTTTTTAATGATTTTAAGAACAAGAATGAACTTGTTGCTGCAATTCAAAATCTACAATTATCTCGAAATACAGTGATGCAATGAATTGAAAGGATGAGTGAGAATGTGAAAGAGCAGTTATATAATGATATTAATAGATGTTTTTGTTTTTCCCTTTAGTGCAGCGTTTCTTAACCTTTCTAGCGAGTTGCACACCATTGAATCTGAAAATATATCTCTGCACCCCATTGAAAAATGTGTTTTAATTTTTTTAGTCTAGAAAAATACATTTTTGGCGAAACTTATTGTTTATTGAAAAACGTACATTTTATATAAATACAAAACAATATTATTTTTATTAATGACTAGTCTGCTGTTGTTTGTTCATTATTATACCGGTGAAGCGAAGTTCCTTTTTTGAAAGACATACGCGTAAGTCATCACTTGCATTTAAGCGATTTCTCGCTTTAGTTTTTATATGCAAAAGCAATGAAAATCCCATTTCGCACAAGTAGGTTGGTAGCAAAGGGTAAGAGTAACTGCAGTGCTCCGTTCGCCAACTCTGGATAATGTTGTAACTGTGAACACCAGAATTGTTGCAATTCTAATTGTTCGAATTCCATTTGAACATGTCCACTTGCTCGCATTTCAATAAGTTGATCTTTTTTCAGATCACTGTCATCCATCAAATTTAAGTCAAATAGAAATGGATCCAGTATCCATCCATCTCTGAGTTTTGGTAATATTTCCGGTAGAAAAATAGCCATTGAATGATTCGCTCAATCGTCTCAAATGTATTACAATGTCGGGTATAATTGTATTCTTTTCATTTTTCGCAATAACAGAATCAAGCAAGGGAAAGTTTTCAAAATTCCCCTTTTCTACTCGACGTATCCAAATTTCTAATTTTGCGATAAATGAAGATAATTTTTCACTAGATATTATTATATTTATACCAAATCCTTGCATTGATAGATTCAATTCATTTAAATGGCTAAATATGTCTGCTAAGTAGGCCAGCCTCAGCATTGCATCATTACTCTCAAAATCTTTTACTAAATAACAGTTTTGACTAGTCAGTAATTGAATAATTTCCTCACGCAATTCAAAAACTCTGTTAAGCATGCGACCCTTAGATAACCATTGTATTTCGGTGTGATATAGGAGCACGGTATGATCAGCACCGATTTCTTCGCAAAATGCACGAAAAATGCGATGATTAAGCGTTCGCCCTCGGATGTATTTTACTACATTTACTGCTGTAGTTAGATGTTGTTTTAAACTTTCTGGCAATGCTTTCGACGCAAGTGCATGACGATGCAACATGCAATGCGTTATTATAACTTCCGGTAATTCTCTTTTCATGTGTGAAAAAAATCCTGAATTTTTGCCTAACATTGCTGGGGCTCCATCAGTGCATATTGAGCCAATCACATTCATTGGTAATTGATATTTAGTAAAAAAATCTTTGATGCGATTGAAAATATCAATTTCCTCTCGTATTCACCTCCAGTGGCTCACAAAATAGAAATTCTTCTATCACCTCTTTTTCCTTCACATACCTGACAAATACCAAAAGTTGGCTACAATTATCAACATCAGTTGACTCATCCAGGTGCATGCTTATTTTTAGTGGACTGATTTTTATGTCTTCAATTACTTGCATTAAAATATCTTCACTGAGATCTTGTATTCGCGATCGTATAATATCATTCGATAATGGAATCTGTTGGATGTTTTTTATGTGCTTCCCAATATAAAACTGTTTTAGCAATAATTAAAGCAGAAGGTTTGACCAACTCTTCAGCGATCGTGTGAGGTTTCTTTTTTTTTTTTTTTTTTTTGCACATATATATGCCACTTGACATGACGCTTCTAATAAAGGTTTTTGAATTGCTGGTCCGCACAATTTTAGGATAGTTCCACTGGTATCAAACCGAGCCTTCTTTGACTTCAAGCTGTTCATGCTATGCGCTTTTTCGCCACCATGCAGATTGTTGAAATGCTCTAATAACTTTGATGGTTTGAGATTGCTGTTTGAAAATATCTTGGAACACAAGATGCATTGCGGTTGTTGCATGCCATCTTTTTCGGTTGTGCAGGTAAATCCATAACCGGCATACTTATCGTTCCATTGTCGTTTTTTTTTTTTTTTTTTTTTTTTGACATAGTGGGGTTCACTATAATCGATTTAATTATTTAGAAATAATGTAATATAATAATGTTCTTACGTTTGTAATATCACTGAATCCTATTCGGCTTGAACGCGCAATTAAGAATGTATTAGTCTCAAGAGGTTTCTGGACAAGTCAGAATACAGAATACACATGTCGCAGACACAATAGTTGACTCAACCTAACACAGGCGCAGTAGATGCAGATACAAATCTGTGAATCCGTAGATTCCATTGGAGTAGCACATATTGAACTCAGCGCATGCGCAAGCTGGGATAACGTTCTCCGCTTGTATTCCCACAAAGATTTTTTCTTTTTTCCGTCACACAGCTCCCTGTTCGCGTTCATTTGTAGCGTTTCATGCCTTTTCGTAGCGTAGTGTATACGGCTATCAGCACCGGCTCTTTCCTGTGTCTTTTGCCGATAAGTGAGCTAGGTGCTACGAATTTTTATGAGCTTCAGTATTGGAGACACTATTGCAGATTTCAAATATTTTATTATAAGAAATTTAATAAATGATATTTAATAATTTTTATGCTTAGGTAGGGGTTTCTCCCGCACCCCGAACCACTGCTTTAGTGTGATGAATCGACAGATATAAGTGATACGGCATAATTACTTGTTTTTGATCATATGGTTTTTAAGGATTTTACAAGTAAAGAAGAATTGTTGGGTATGATTTCTTTGAAGGAAAGGGCTAGAGGTGTAGACAAAGCCTTTAAAAACATGCTCAATGCTTTGGAAGTGCCACTTTTTAGTCTCAATAGAAATGGATGGCACAACTGCAATGATAGTTAACATAAATGTATTTATAGCCCTATTGGCAAAAGGGAAATGAATCCCTTGCCTTTTTAAGCTATCACTGCATAATTAACCAGCAAGTGTTAGCTAACAAGAGACTAAACACAAAAGCAGTAATGGGCATAGAATTTAAAATTGTTAATTCAATTCGAGGAAGTTCCCTCAAATGGCGTCTCTAGCTCCATGAATTACAACCTGAATTATTACTACATACCGATGTCAGATGGCTAAGCAGAGGTAAATTTTTGCAGCAATTTCGTGATTTATTGCCTGAAATTATAGATTTTCTTCACAAACAAGATGGAAACTGTGAAAATTTAAATGACGAAACTTGACTTAGTGACTTAGCATTTCTTACTGATTTTACTTCAATATTAAGTCATTTAAATTTAGAATTACAAAGTAAAAATAAAACAGTAATTGATATGATCAGCTGCATAGACGCATATAAAACAAAATTAATTTTGCTAATAGATCTGCAACAAAATAATCTGAATCATTTTCCAAATATGGCGAATAACCTACAAAAACATAAAAATATTAATTATAAGATCGACAAATATGTTGCAGAAATCCAAAAAGTGATTGAAGATTTTGAGATAAAATTTCAGGATTTTGAAAAAAAGAAATTGTGGAATTCGTATCTTTTCCTTTTAAAAAAAAGGAAACAAAATTGAATTTTTTCTGAAATGACTGCCACGCATTTAATGATTTCTACATTAGAATAAATAAATAATTTCACTTATAATTACAATTAAGATAACTTTATGACAATGACTTACAGCAGATAAGTCCAAGGCAAGGAGTATAGGAGGAATCACTGTCACCCTTCATTGTGATTTGATACTCCATTTGGCTATCTACATCTTTAATTGTAGGCTGAGCCGGAAATGTAGGATGACTGTGATACCAACCGACAACTGACAGATGCCGCCTATCTAATGAGCGCCGGATCTATAATAAAAACAATAGAGAATACTAGATTTAGAAAATAAATTGTTAGACAAGATTTTTGTTACAAGTATATGAACTAAGTTAGCATTTTAAAGCATGTTTAGGTAGTATATTTTAGAAAACATTATGATTTGAAACCTGCATCAAAATTCTGACCGTATGTTACTTAAACTATTAGAGGAAAGATCTAGAAGCACCGGGAAAAACATTTGAAGTTTGTTAACCACATAGCAGATTTCTTTCATTTCCATTTTACTAGAAACGGAAGGAAGAAAAGAAAGCATTTTTAACAAATATTAATTTTATAAAAACACTAGTGACTCTCCAGTGTTTATACAAATTGTATGACTCAGTCTCTTGAATGACTGATCATAAATTTATGCCCCTATAGATTTATGAATTAATAAGCTATAGTATTAAGTCTGAAAACTTTAATCATTATACCTTTTGGGGGAAAAATAAATAAATAAAAAGTTTTTGTATTAGATGGGATAAAAAAAAGTCCAGATTTTAATGTACTAACATATATGAAGGAAAAGAAGGGCAGAGGCAAAGAGTTATACTATCCCCCCCCCGAAAAAGCTTATGCTTTCCAAAATATGAAATACATAATAAAACAAATTCCAAATTTGGGATTCAGATGTCCATATTTGGGTGGAGATGTACATTTTTCAAAATTTCATGGCTCTAGGTACCGTTGTTTTATCACAATGTGAGAAACATACATATATTTATGCAGATTCTTTATTAGTCCAAAGGGATTTGAATCCCGAAGAACTATTAGTTTCGTTTTGGCATTTTGCGTCGGACGGATAAATGTCGGTTCACTTTTCAAACTGTTTGCCATAAAATGTTAGAGTCCTGCATTATATTTGAAGAAATTAAATAATGAAAATCTGCGTAAATGTATGTATATTTCTCACATTGTCATAAAATAACGGTACATAGAGTCATCGAATTTTGAATAACGTAATCCTCCAACGAATATGAGCATGTGGAAGACCAAATTTGAAATTTGAAATTTGTTTTATGATCGATTTCCTATTTTTTTAAAACTTTGACGAATTTTTGATTAACAAACTCAAGGATTTCAAAGCGAGCAATGGCAACGTTGTGCAGAAAAAACATTTTTATCTCCAGCGCGTGAGTCTCTGTATCGGAAATTCTAAAGATATGCTCGTTTTGCGATATTGCTGTTGCACTGGATCTTATGGTTTAAGTGCGAGGAACATGATATTTAATAAAGAAAGGTAACACACAAAATGTTAAAAAACGCCCCTTTGGACGTAATTTAAAATCTGAAACATTTCAGATTTTTTTTTTTAAATTTTTTTTTTTTATTTAATTTCTTTAAATATAATACAGGGCTCTAATATTTGGTGGCAACAATTTAAAAAGTGATTCATTGTTTATAGTGAATCAATGCAAAATGCCACAATGAAATTAATAGCCCTTCCAGGCAAATTCCTCCTTTGGGCTAGGAAAAAAGTAAGGTTTCTTTACAGAATAATAATAATAAAAAAACACACTAAACTTTTAAAACTGAATGTCAATGGCTGCAGATGAGGTGCTCTGCCCACTGTCCGCACCTAGTGGTATATCTTAGAGACATATTGCTTTTTACCCTGTTCCAGTCTGTGCGTTAGTTGTCAAGTAACTATCAATTGAGTGAGATCATGCATAAGCTGCCCATCAGATTAATAAAAAAGCAAAAATAAAGGAATTGGAGGAACTACATGTCTGTGTGAAATTTTCTGTAAAACTGGGAAGTTTCTTGGAAACATTATAAATGCTAAACCAAGTATGCTAGGATGACAGTATGAGCCTAACTCAGCTCTATGATTGGTTTCAGCATTTTAAGGATAGCAGAAGCTCAGTTCAAAGATGTAAGATGGACAAACCTTTCATGTCAACAGACAATCAACATGTTCACAGTGTGCATTCTGTAATTCATCAAAATTGTTATTTAATTGTCTGTTAGGATGCTGAAGAAGGTGGCATAAGAGTAGGATCTTGCCATCATATCCTGAATGAAACAATTTCAATGCATTGTGTCAGTACAAAATTCGTGTCATGTTTGTTGACTAAAGATGATCAGAAGCAGAACTGAGTTAAAATCTACCAGGAACTGCTTGAGATTCAAAGAACATCTTCCTCAAAACACTGTAACAGCAGATGAGATCTGAGTGTATGGATAGCATGAGAAAACAACGAGGCAATCTTCAAAATGAGCTTGGAAATTGTCCTCGACCAAAGAAAGCATGGATGAATTGTTCAAACATCAGTGTAATAATAGTTGTTTTTTTTTAATTGGAAAAGTATTGTGCACAACAAACTTGAACCACGTGGTTCAGACAGTAAACAAGGAAGTCTATGAAGGACTGAGACCAACATGACTGAGAGATGTTGTGTGTAAGAAGAGACCAGAATCGCGGTGGAATCAGTAATGGATGATGCATCATAACAAAAGTTCACTTCATGCATCATTTTTTGAAACCAGTTATCTGACAAAACATCATACTTCTTATGTGCCCCACCCTAGTCTTTGGACTTAGCCATGGCAGACATGTTTCTCTTTTCTAGTTAGTTAACACCACATTGAAAGTATCTCTACCAGTCCATAGAGGAAATTCCAGATAATACGACGGAAGTACTGCATATCATCAAAAAAGTGATTTCTGTCAAACACTACAAAAATGGAAGGAACATGGTAATGCTGTATTGACACTAGAAGGGAGTATTTTGTAGGGCAAAGTAGATGAATATTTCCATGAAGAACAATAATGCAAGAACAGCAAACGTTTCTTAACAGCAAAACTCATATATATTTTCAAATATAACTCAGATATGTGCAATAAAAATTTTGATGTGGTGACAAAGAGCATAAAGATGTAGATGATACTGGATGGCAGGTGATAATTTTTATTTAGATGTAATTTCATTGAATAATGAAACAATAATGCAGTATGAGCAACAGACAGAGACAGATGCAGTAGATGTTCAGTTAACATGCAAGCTTTACATATGAACCACATTTAGAAACACAGCAGCAGGCTATATCATAGTTGAAGAGAGGCAAGAGTGGAAAAAGCAGAGACTAGGAAATAATCAAATTAAATAAAAGACTTAAAAAGGCTATAACAAATTAAAGTCAAAATTTTATTTTACTTATTCATTATGTCTGTCAGTCATTTGCATGCTCGCTTCCCACTCTTTCTTCCTTGCCCACATGCACAAACACATAAAGAAAAGCACAATATGAGTTAACTTCTTCTAAATATACTCACTTCATCTTCAACACGAGCAGCACTGTCTTTATCTCCAAGACCAGATCTACAAGGAAAAGCTTGTAAAACAGCTAAATCTGAAAAATAGATAAGTTCAGAAAACAAATCAGTGAAACATGAAAACAAAGATTATTAATCAAAGGGAGTTATACTATTCATACTAGCAAAATCAATAATTCAATACTTAAAGATTATATTATACACAAATACTTTTAGTACCCCCTACCAATGCTAGGCACTAGAAAGATGGGATCCCCCCTTATTCCCCAAACCATTAAACTGCAATTGTGGAAATGGGATAATTCACTTATAAGGTAAGGCAAGTTGCATGTTCCTTCCTTTCTCCAAATCAAAACACATCTAGAATCACTGTTCAGACTAAATCTGGAATCGTCAGTTACTCGGGCCCAGTCACCTTGGCTCCATTGAGCATGATGATGCCACCAGTTTAATCCTTTGTGTCCCAAATTACTTTATTTTTTGAAAAAGAGTTTGTAACTTTATTATATTTCTTTATGTATCAGAAACATCTCACATTAAACTTACAAACATGTTATAAGTTTTTCATTGCTTTTTTTTTTTTTAATTTAATTGGGACTTAAAAGTCCCGGGACATAATTGAGCAATTTTATTGATGGGACTTCAAAATCTCGTAGGGAAATTAAGGGTTAAAAGGATCCCTTTGAAAGATTTGACAAATGGGGTGTGCGGAACACAAACCACCAGTTTTCTCGTATACAGTCCAACTTTCTTAAGCCTTCATGCAGCTGTAAAACAGCTGCTTTGAGTTTCTGTGGCAGCCTGAAAATCAAATCTCTCGTAGTCACTTCACGGTTTCATCAAGCCAACAAAGACAGAAAACGGTATTCTGATGCTGTTGTTGCTTGTGATAACTCTTGAGGTTATATATCAACTAATACAATGCTTAAAAAGCAGCTCCAAAATCCTAATATGACACTTTCAGGGATATTCAAACCTTGGTGAATTCTATTTGTGTTCGATGTGCCTTGATCGTACCAATTATTCACCACATTTGACTTACACTTAAATGATGCCTTTGTGCTATAACCACTAAAATACTGATTACTCTCAGAAACCACATTCCCTTAAACAACGGTAGAGACTAGAATTCGAAAGTGCACCCATTGTGCACCACATCGTCAATCACTGTGCATATTTCAGGTGCTAATGTATGTGCCAAAGTCCAATTTTATGTTCAATTGTATTTAATTAACAAATAATTACAGCATGGGGCATTGATTGCAACATTAACTTAGTGAACATATTATATTATTTAACTTAGTGAACATATTTATCCTTTAATTTTGATGACCAGTGTATAACGTTAATATATTTAATGTATATTTTTTAATATAGACATATGTTCAATGTTTAAAATTTACTGTCTACACCTCCGGAAACACCTTACTCATTCAAAGGTTGATACATAATCATTTCCGATTGAGTTCACAATAATACAAATATTACAAGGCTGCCATGAAGAGAAAAGATATATAAAACTTGTTATTTTTCATTGAAGAAATTCTAATAAGTAATATTTTTGCTTTTCCATACTACAGTCAATGCAAGTTACATTTTTATTTCTTTTTCACATCTCTCCAAATTTATTTTTTGTATCTGCAAGATATATATACAGTTCTGCTTTTACTGCATTTTCCAATTAGGCATTGTGCATGAAAATTTAATTTTGAGTTTAAACCAGAAATTTGCAGAGCATGGAAAGCATTTGGAAATAACATATTTTCATTGAAGTTCTTCAATGTAAAGCAGTAAAAATGCTCTTCTAGGAATTGTTCTTCCCACAGTTTCTTTGAACACCAGCAAATAATTAATAGCAACTAAATCCAAAATACAGAATACAGACAATAGCTGTCTGTGATTACATACTTGTACTGAGCAGTTTCTAGCTATTTGGTCTAGAACAGGGATGGCATACCCCATAAAATTTTGCGGCCCGTGGTGGATCTACTTACTTCAAGGCATATTTTTTTCCAAAAATTAAATTCACAAAACATAAATATGAGCATTTTTAATTGATGAAAATCTGCAACATCAATTATAATGTGCAAATACAAGTAGTAAGATTCACTTGGGAAAAACTAAGTGAAAGAAAAGAGAAACAAATATCACACTGATTATATTAAATATGATATTATTTAATTGTTTTATGAACTATTAGCATTATACTTATTTATGTGTAGTCATAAATGTTCAACTTTTCTAATGCTAATAACTAATAATATATTCTGTTTTTTTTTTTTTTTTTTCATTTTTTACCTCAACAATTCACATATATATATAATTTATCTTCTAGTAGATTATTTAATAAAGTACAAAATCCGAAATCCCAACTGTTCGGGACTTTGGCTATTCCGAATCATAGATTATCAATTTAAAGATGGCATGCAGAAATTGTACAATTAAAAATATGAAATCGTAAATCGTAATTTATGAAATAAAGAATAATATGATCTAAAGAGAATTAAAAAAAAAAAAAAAAAAAAGAGCTTAATATTTATTTGTTTACTTTATTAAACATTTCTTTCAATTTAAGTTGTTTAAGATGCTTCTACAAAAAATTAAAAAATTCCTTTTTCTTGTGTCATATACAGTGGACTTTGCCATACTCCTCGCATAATTTTGAGACGGATATGACTTTATCCATTTTTTGCAGCAATTCCACCTTTTGTTTAATGGACATCGAAACATGGTTTCCCTTTTTTATCGTCCACATTCCTTTGGCAACTCCAAAATTGGAAACTCTTTTCGACATAATCAAAAGTTCAAGCTTAGTTTTTATAAAATTGCTGTAATAATAAGTCTGCAAAAAATAATAAGCTAGATCAAATTAGAAGATCAGGGAGCAGCGCAGTCTGCTACATTAATTGAAATGTCTTAGAATCAGTAAAGATAATTTTAGCCTAGCTTAATAGCATCTGTTATACATTGTTGGCTGTGTATCACAAGATTGGTGACGAAAGCCAAGTTGTTTCGCTAAATTTTGTCTTGCTCCTATTGCGTGCTGAATTAAGCCTGAACTGTAATAGTTTAGTTATTTAGTATACCTACATTTATTTCTTGCACATGCTTCAAACTAATCCTAGTCATAAATAAATAAACTCCCACATATACTTAAGGCTTTATCTAGGGCCGGTGCATGATACTGCCTCGTGCAGTCTCTACGGGTCCTAAATTCTGCTACAAAGGTGCTTTCCTTTCTAAATTTTCACCGTGCCTAAACTTTAGATCTCAGTGCTTTCCCTAAATTATAAAATTTTTCATACCTTAATTTTGCTGCTCGGTGTTTCTCCAAATTCCAAAAATTTCGTCTTCCCTAAATTCTGTCATCCCGTGCTGACATATTTTGCCGCCGCTTCTGGGTTTATGGTGAATAACATATCAGTTATTCTTAATTAAAATAGCACTAAATGTAATCTTTTGGCTTATGAGTTTCATTAACAAAATCTATTTTTAGCATATGAAAAGAAATTTTTGTTGAATTTTTCCTCGTCAACATTTCTTAGAGCATTTAAAAATCTATAATCATCGCCAAGCATAATGTTAGCATAAAAAGTTGCCATACTCTTGTTATTCAATTACTAATATAAAAAATGTTTAGACATCACAGCATGAGATATTACTGAAGCTGTCATGTATTGATAAACATGCGGTGATGGAAGCAAAATATAATAAATAATGACTCGCCAGGTCGGTGTCAGGGATATAAAATAAGTGAATGTTTCGGTTTGAGATGTATGCCAAGTAGATACTCAGCTACGAAGCCAAATTATTAATCTCACAAATTTATGCTTACATGATTGTTTTTCCACAACGAGGTATTTTATTTAGTGCCTAAGTGAAATTAAGAATTGGAATTTTTAAGTGAAAATCTCCACATGTTTTATTATGGAAGGAAAAATCAAATACGCATGCATAAAAAAGTTAATAAATAAGTAATAATAATAAACCAAACAATAATAAAAAGTTTGTGGCTTTGGGGGTCTGGATTTTAGATCATTCCGGATAATGGACGTCCGGATTTCGGACTTTGTACTGTATATTATCTCGTTTGAAAAAGTAGTTAGCATTTCAAGTTTCAATACGCATGCATGTGTTCATTTGAGACACATAAGGCTGTCTCTCTTACCAATGCATTTATATATATATATGCTCTTCTAAATTAACTGAAACAAAAGTGTCTCATGTCATTAACTAATGAGACACAATCTTGTAAACATGGCTCTCAATGAAATTTATTACAACACTGTATTTTGTACGAATTCCAACATGGAAAAAATGCCACTGAAGCATGTCAAAACTTAATGAAAGGTTTTGGTTGAGATGCAGTTTCGGATAGAATGTGAAGATGATTAAAAAATTTGAAGCAAGGGATTTCAACCTTAATGACAAGCCACACTCTGGGTGGCCATTGCAAAAAAGTTTAACTCAACAAACCATTTCAAATCCCATTCAGAAATTAGGACTGGTCTGTAAATACTCCAGATGACTGCTTTATGAAACAAGTGAGCTAAGTCTGTATGATCCAATCATCACATGCATATCTCTGCTTACTCAGAACAAAAGTGAATCTTTCTTGGACTGGATGATAATTGGTGATAAAAAATGGATTACCTACAAAAACATCATTAGGGAAGAAGCATACTGTCAACCCGGACAATCTGCCAACTCCATCATTCTAAGCTGAGCTAGAGCCTGAATACGATAATACTGCGTACATGGTGGGATGTCCAAGGGCCAATACATATGAGATTTTGAAACCTAATGAAAGGTTCAGTTTGGAAAGATACTGTCAGCAAATGGATAATTTAAACACAAAAGTTAAAGAAAATAGGCCAGCGATGTTCAATAAGACGCATATCATTCTGCATCATGATAATGCCAGACCACATCCTGCTTTGGTGAGTTATCAGAAAATCATACAATCGGGGAAATTTTGCTGCATGCATCATACTTCCCTGCCCTTTAAATTAACATTTGTTTCTTGACTTGCAAAATTTTTTGAAGGGTAAAAAATTTCAAAAGCAGATGTCAGCAAAGCACTACTTGAGTTCTTCATCTCTAAGGACATTTTTCAAAAATGGTATTTACAAATTACCATCATGCTGGCAAGAGGTCATAAATAAGAAAGTAAATTATATTGTACAATAAATATTATGAAAGGCATGAAAAATGTATTATTTTCTTTTACTTCCCAAATAGACAGAATTCTCAAGTAGACCTTAAATACACATACACATACAAAGTGGCCTGCCATAATAATAAAGTGCATGTCCAAAGCTGACCACAAGGTCTTTTGGATTGGACAGGCCTGGTCTAATTAATGTCAGCATCATACTTTGTACAGTTATAAAATGTCATATCTTTGGGCAATTTCATGCCATTAACTATAAGTTTGAAGCTTAGGATTAACAGTTTTTTATTCTTCTTGCACTTGAGATACAGTAAATTATGATCATTGTGTTTGCAAGCAGCAGTTGAATAAAGGAAGATGATTGGATCTCTTAAGACTTTTTATCAAATCCCATAAACCTCATTATTTCCATTATGAAAAAATGCAAATCCCCGTATGTCTTATTCCTCTTACACAATGAACTTCAGAGGCTTTAAAAGGCCTAAAAAGTCATCAAGTTCATCCAGCAATATGGATAAGCTATCATCCTGAAATTGCTGATAAGCTTCTGCCTCAGTACATTCTTATATTATTCTTTTGAGTCATTTATTTACGATCAACTGTAATGAATTCGAAATCTCTCATTTGACCCATTTTTTTTGCAAATGGTGTTATTCCAAAAGACTCCAATAACATATTTTGATAATGAAAACATTCTGGTTGGCTATTGCTAGGTATACGTATTCGTCTTATACTATCTTTTGTAACTTTTTTTTGTTCTTTGAAGGTACCACATCAAAAGTATTTTGTAATGATAAATTTTTTTGTTTCTTTTTATTTCCATTTATTCTTTGCATATTTATACCTTTTCGGATCTTTTGTAATGAAACTAAAGTTACTTTTTTTGTGGTTTTCATCAACTTCAGAGTCACTATGAAATATTTCAAAGTCTTTGCAGAATAAAATCTTCAACTTCCTCAAATACTTCTTCGCTTTCAGATTTATTTTCATTTTTATTAAATGGAAATGAATGTGAAGACATTCTGTCTTCGTCTGACCTTTATGATGAGCCATGTTCATTTATATACTGAAAAGATTGAAATACTATTTTTCTCTTATCTATCCTCTTTTATTTCCGGTCACATGATAAATCAAGCAGACATTTTCAGGGTCATGATTTTCAAGTAAAAAAATAAGTTGTTAGAAATAGGGAAAAAGAGGTTTATTTATATAATAAGATTTTACAGCAATGTTTTAAACAATTCTGCCTGTTTTCCAGAATGCCATAAAATAAAGGCTCTAGTCTTGATGCACAACATACTTTTTCCTCCCTCTTCATAACTGAATAAAATTTTGTAAAGGTGTGTATAAATATTGTAAAGTTAAGGAAAGTCATAACACTTCAGCAGCTTAAGCTGACAAATTAAGAATATGTGATCAAAAGTGAATACGAAACAGTCAAAATACTGGTGGTTATCTTTCTAGTGCTATTACAATATTTTGCACCAAAGGGCATTTTTTTTTTTATGCCTGAAAAGAAGACACTGCTAAACACTGCATCAATTACTATAGTTAGCTTTTCAGTCATTTTATCAGCTTCCACCCTTAGCTTCCTGCATTCACTAAAATTTGAAAATTTAACAGTGGTTCTAATCACAATCCTCATTATTCAGACTCATTTTATAAAAGATCCCTTCTATTAAATTTTTCATTCCTAGCATCAGCTTTTACACAGAAATCATACCGAGATCTATGGATATGAATACTGCATATATTATTACTTGATTTCAAATCACTGTGGTGAAATAAAGGAGGGGAGAAATAAAAAATTCACAAGTCTGATATACATGATATGGCAAAAGTGTATGTGCATCATACCACGCGATTGGCTGTCCTATGAAGTGGAACCATACTTGTCAAGGGTGTGTAAAGAAAGTGTTACAGATTACATTAGATAATTTTCATATTAATATGAAGAATTCAGAATTTCAGAAAAGATGAGTCTAAGACATTTCCTTTAAAGCAAACACAACTCTTTTAATGGAAATTAACATAAGTTTTACCAATTATGAAGTTACAGAAAATGAGCATAACAATTTATCAAAACTACTTGCATCTTTTATAATTCAACATTTACGTCTTCCTGAACAATGAAATTTATAAAAGCTGAGATGGCTGAAGGAAATTATAATTTTTAATTTCCGAGATTAGGGAAATAATATTCAGCATATTTTTTAAGTGTCCATTTCACTAAAATCATTTATATATTTACACACTGTTAAATAAAGGTATATGGAATTATGACCATTTCTAAAATTTAGTTTAATATAGCTCCCTAAAAAATGCTGATTTTCACAAAAAAGTATGAGTATTTAAAATTAATACACGATAATTATTAAATTATTACAGCTGTTATACAGTAATAAAAATAAAAAATATACATACTATGCGAAGCTATGTCCCAATTACCGCCCAGGTAACCAACAACTTCATTTTTTATTATATGACAATGAAAATCCTATAAGAATTAGCTTATTGTTAGCATTTAGTAAAATTATAAACTACTCATATATATATATGTAATTATTTAGAAGTGTGGGGGTAATTGTTACCATTATTGATGGTTATAGATGGTGCTGGCTTAATTGCATAGTCAAAGAAGAAACTTTCAGAAATCTTTGTAGATAACAAAACATATAATTTTATTCCTTGATAAATAATTTCTTATAACATATTTTCTCGTTTTCACATCAGTATGGATATGATAAGCACTCCACAAATTTATATACACTTGTTACATTTTTAAACAATAGATGATGCAGAGAAGGTAAGATAATGTAATGACACATGCTATTAGGGCAAGAGATAATTGGAAAGTGCACAAGTAAGCAAGTCAAATTCTACAAGTTCTGAAAGGTGATATACAGTTAATTTTTTAAGTGACACAGTTTAGATTCCAGGAAAGAGACATAGCCAAATTAAAGTTAACAATTATCAGTTTCACATTTTTTTAAGGTATAAAATATGTGACTGAAAATTTTTAACTTTAATTTAGCTATCTCCCTTTTCTGTTCTAAATTGTTCATAATTTTTCTGGACTGTATTTGTTTTTTATGCTTGCTTACTTAATCCTCCTGCACTGCGATAGCTCATATCCAATTCCAGATCCAGAATAAATAAAGAAATCAAGTTTATAAATATCACTACTACTACTTTGTATCGCTAGTGCTAAGATGTATCATTTTGCTGCTCTGGTTTATCCTTAATCTTGGGAAAAAAAAAAAAAAGGAGGGGGGAAAAATGTGGGGTGCTAATCACACCCAAAGTGATATGTAAATGAGAATATGCATGCTCAGGAAGTATTCGTCAAGAAATAAAATTTGTTTGTTATCTACGCCATCTGCAAATCTCTTCTTCTATGCATTCCCATCTGTATGCTAGCCACATCTATAACCATTCTGGCCATGACTAAAAAACAATTGGTATTTCTCTCCCACATATCATAAATTTATTATAATTAACACAGCTCATTTACTGAATTATATATATATAATTTGAAAGATAAAAAGAATAATTTTTCATGTAAAGATACATACTACAAGCAGCAAACAATTTGTGGCGATGGTGACAGTGAAGGGCTGTATTCGATCTAATCCACTAAAAGGAGTACACTTTACAAGAGTATTCAGATCACTGTAATAAGATAAAAAAGTTACTCCAACATTTTCTTATTCTGTGCAATGAGAAACCACCAAGTATTTTCACATGTAATAAAGCTATTTGAGGAAGAAAGTACAAAGGGCTCTAAGTAATTTTAGTTTATACTTATCCTTATGTTAATTCATACAGCAAACATAATTGATTCAAAACTTTTATAATTAAGGTAGCAGCTGTTGTAAAGAAAAATTTATTCAATTTGTTTCCTTCAATCAGTTTTTTTTACTACTTTCGCTTTTAAATCCTGTAATTACTTTTATGGTAAATGTTCATTTGGTCTTGAAACTGAGCCAAAGATGATTCCAAAGATGATTCGGGACTTCGGCGATTCCGGATTATAGATCATCAGTTTAAATCTCGTAAGATGGCATGCAGAAATTCTAAAATTAAAAATATGAAACCATAATTTATGAAATAAAGAACAATTATGATCTAAAGGGTATCAAAATTTACAAAAAAAAAAAAAAAAAAGCTTCATATTTATCTGTTGACTTTATTAAATATTTCTTTCAATGTAAGTTGTTTAAGTTGCTTCGTTTTATGCGATAATACTTTCTCTTTAATTCTATAAACAGACATAATTTCTTCTTCAGTTAAAAAGTTCCGCTGTTCAAGTCCTATAATTGCTGTGTCGAGAATACCGACTAATTTGCCAATCGAAATATTTTCATTTTCAATAACCTCTGTGTCACTTTCTTCACTATCGGAAGCGAATTTGATTTAAATCATATCAAGGATGGAGTACATCGAGATGAAATACTACATTTAGTAAGGAATTGTAAGCCAAATAAAATAAAAACATCTGCCCTGAAAATAAGGATAGTGCTGACAGATCAACTTCAATTTCATTGTGCGCCGCGGCTTTTTCCCCACAGGAAATAAGCATACAAAGCAAGAATATTTTGTTACTAACATGTACTTTGCCTATAAATTTCACAAGCAGTATTGTTTAGCACTTTTGTTTTCATTTTAAGCTAGAGTTTCAGAAATTAAATTTCCTATTTATGGGTTCCTAGACATAGATGATAACTTATTTTTGTTTCAGATATGCAGGTAAATTTATCTTGAGAAAGGAGAAAAATAAATATTGCAATATCAGGTTTGAATGGGTTGTCTTAAATGATTAAGTCAAAAATTAATGCTAAAATTACAAATGAGTTGAATAATTTTAATACAGACACATAATTTTTTATTGTTCCCAGAATAACAGATCTAACTGCTTTTAAACAGCTTAATATTTCTTTTCCTGAATTTAATAATGTTAAGTTAGCAGACACAGGTTTAAATACACCAGGTGCTATTCATTTACTATTAGGAGCTGAAAACTTCTACAAAATTTCAAAACCATGCCCAATTTATCCACTTAATGCAAAATTAATGTTATTGAATAGAGTATCTGGGTTTGTGGTAAAATGCCAGCGGTAGTTGAGAATAACATATATCACGGGATTGTTAAAATTGTACCGATTTAGAGAAAATTATGTAAAAATTCTGGGAAATCGAAAATATTGCGTGTGATAAAATAAAAAAAATCTGATGTGTACACCACATGACTTCCTTGTATTGGAATATCAAATTACACACATTTTTTCTTGCATTTCATTTAAACTTATTGGATTGAATTAAATCTACTTCACCGACAGCGCATAAACCACAATAGAATAAATGCATTCTTTAAAATTCACTCTAGTATTTGTTTACCATAGCGACACTCTGGCGCTAGATTCACTTAACAGTATTAATAATTATATAACAGTTAACATATATATTTCGTTCATATTATAACTCATAATGCACAAAATTTATATCATTTAAAGAATAGAATAATCTAATCGTTGCCACATGTTCTATTCAAATACTATAATAAAGCTAGAATGACGTATAAAAGAAATTAAGCAAAGAAAACAAAAAAGAAACACTTTTTCACAGACGATTGAGTATTTCTCATTTAATTAATTCTGTTCTCACTTCGCGAGAAGGCAAAAATACATAAAAACTCAAAATATCTATATAAAAAATTATGAAGTAAATCTCAAACACTTATTTCCTTGAAGAAATTCCAGAAAGAATTAAGCATGATTTAATTGGCAATAATAAATGAGTGCGTTATTTTTGTTGTTGCGAAGCTAAGTTTCTCTAGATTGGCAACAAATCCACTAGTCTCCTGTTTCAAATGTAAACATCAATGGCCGCCATTAAAAACAGGCTTAGCAGCAATTAAACAACTTTAAAATTGCTGATAATTCTAAAAATATTGCACACGATTTACTAAAGGCATAAAATCCTTAACTGGAAGATAAAACAACATAATTCAATCATTTTTAAAGCAAAAAATGTACAATTTACAAACATATAAGAGTAAAGAAACTGAGATCACTGAGCCAGGTAACAGAGTGGATATTTGTATAAATATATTTATATACGTTTGGTGCGGCCGATTGCAACCAAAATACGAGGTGCACATCTACATGTAATAGCAGTCCTATATACAAAATTTCAACGTTCTGAGGCTACTCGTTTTTGAGTTATGCGAGATACGTACGTACGTACGTTCGTACAGACGCCACGAAAAAGTCTCTTTAGAATTAATTTTAAAGCAGTTTTATAATTTTTTTTGAAGGAAAAGAGTATTTTATTCTGTCCTTACATACAGATATCACACAAAAACATCGTTAAATTGTATTCGATAGCGGTCAAAATGAATATTTTCGTTGAAATATGCTGCCTGAAACTTTTTGCGATTACAATACTTCCTTTTTACTTCGCACAAGGAAGTAAAAAAGGAAACCCTCATTTGTGAACAGCAATTTTCAAAAATCCCATGCCAGAGATAAATATGAGTAATACATTGTACAAACGTCTTTGAAAGATGTCAATGTCTTTCAGCATGTCAAATGTCTTTGAGCTAACTTGAATGAATCAAAGCAGACAGCTATGAAAAGATCAAATTTTCTGTGGGCATGTATCAGAGAGCCTGAAAGTCTGGCTATGTACAAAGTCTTTATGATGTGAATATAGAAATATGAAGGAAGTTAAAGAAAGCCAAGAACCAGATATAGTTTACTATTTGCTCCATTGTGGTATTGTTTCCAGAGAATCTACTTCAACTCCTTTTGAGTAGTTTTTGATACTTCAACATTAACATCGAAGAGTAACTCTTTAACCTCACTTCAGTATAATGAAGAAGTGATTCAAGAGGGCATACTTGTGATAATGCTATGCTTCACTTTTGTTACTGACATTAAGATGTATTGAATGTTTTTCAGAAAATTTATACGTGTATATTTATCATTTTGTAACTAAAATCATTCATCCAGAAAGTGTTATAGTTTAACAACTTCTTCCTTCAACTCAAAAGTCAAACAACAAAAATCAGCGTTATATTTTCAAATTTTCACAGGACTAGTTTTGATGGTTTTACTGAACCATCATCCTCAGCTGCAAAAGCGCAAATGAACGAGATAAGATATGATAAGACAAAACCATCAAAACTAGTCCTGTGAAAATTTGAAAATATAACGCTGATTTTTGTTGCTTGACTTCTGAATTGATATTTGTTCAGTGTGTTATTGTATCTTAAATTCGTCCTTGTTGAAACATTAAAGATATTCATTGCAAGACATGGTAAACCTGCAAAGTTTTCACTGATAATGGCAAAACTTTTATCGCTGTTAAAATTAAAAAATTTAAAAAGTGCACAATTTAGTAAGTAAACAAAGTAATATTTTTGCAGGTTGTTTAGCATCTGAAGAAGAAGATTGGAGTTTTCTGCCTCCAAACTTTGGGAGTCTTTGAAAGGCAGAGGTCAAGGTCTTTTTAAATATTACCCAAAAAGAACGGCTGGTAATCTGAAATTAATGGACGAATTTAATTGCATAATTATTCAAACTGAGGGAATGTTAAATCTCCTTTGCTTTTACCAATAACTTCTGATACTGATGAAATAGAAGTTCTGACACCAGCTCATTTTTAATTAGCAGATCTTTTCATGTATTTATTGAGCCTGATCTTACCAAGATAAATGAAAACTGATTATAGAGTTGGCAAAAATCATGCAAATCATGCCTGCATGGGGAAAAAAATGGAGTAATGATTATTTAAATAATTTACAAGAAAGACATCAACAGATGTTTTGTAAATACAGTGTGAAAAAAGGTGACATTATAATTAAGTAAAATAACTTTCCACCACTCAAATGGTTGCTTGGCAAAACTGAATGAGTATATTCAGGCAAAGATAGGAAAATTAGAGTAGTAGAAATTGAAACATCTTCCAGTCATTACAAAAGACCAATTTAAAAGCTATGTTTGTTACCTATAAATAGTTAATTTGTGTACATTGATGCTTTAACCTTTTGAGGCCGGGGCTTTGGTAGCAGTAAAAGCTACCAAAGGATGGGGAATCTTGAACCGAAATCTTGCTTTCCCCCCTTTAAGAAATCACCTCCTATTTGCAACAAAGATTCTTGTCTATAGTTTAATGGATTCTCAGAGGAGTGCATCTATGTCGCAAAAGAAAGACCTTTGAGAGAGATAAGTGGTTAAAACCCCAGGAACGTCAAATTTGACATTTTACTCCACATTTCAGCCTGGAAAATGGGGAAAATCAACATGGCCACTAAAGTGGACAACCCCGTCTTTTCAAAGAGAGTATGGCCACTATAATGGCCATCCCGTCTTCAAAAGGTTAATTCTAGTATTACAATGTATATTTGTTACCTCATTATTGCAATCAACAGTAGATTTGTTGTATAAATATTTTATTGTTTATTTACAAGTACTTGAATGTATGTTATACAGTGCAAGGTCTGGTACTATGTCAACTAGTAAAGTGCTATTTATGTAGAACAAAATAGTGTGCATGCTAGCCATAGTATGTTGTGTTTGAGTTACCATGGAGCACAGGCCCATTGAGTGTAGTGCTAAATAGAGCGAGTGAGTAAGAGTTTATTGGCGCAAAACCAAAGATGATTAAAA